TCCTGTCTTCTTGTCCTGTCCTCCTCCCTCCTGTCTTCTTGTCCTGTCCTCCTCCCTCCTGTCTTCTTGTCCTCCTCCCTGCATGGTGTGTGGTCAGCCGGCAGTTCTGTTGGAGATGGCGGCTCCCAGCTGGGCTCAGGGTTTGATTTCAGCCCACCAGGTGGCTCAGACTAACCTGTCCTACAACCAGGTGACGCTCTGGTTCATTTCCTCATCTTTACTCCCCCAATTAACACCAATTATTTTACCTGGAGGTGCTCCAGAATCAGCACTGAGAGGCCCTGTGCAAAAGTCTTTATCCACTCTTCATTTGTTTTTATGGAGTCCAAACTAAAAACAATAATAATAACTTTACAACAGATAAATACCATAGAAATGACATTTTCTGTCAAAACCAGACTGCAAAAAATGTGCAGAAAAAGAAACAGGAAAACAATAGTGTCACTGATGACTCAGCATTTTCTGATTTAGCATTTTTCCTGATGCAGTGTTGAAATATGTGTTTAGTACTTTAAATAAATAAATAAATCCTGGCTCTAGGCCAAGTGGAGCCTCCTCTGCTGATCCTGTCTCTTGATAATCTTTGGTTTCAGATGAATCCTTTATGTTTGTGTTGTTTTAGAGTATTTTTCTGTTTGCTGCAAGTGTCTTTCCTGAACATTTGGTGCCGTGCATCAATACTTATAATGATGTGTGTGCAGGCAGAGGAGGAGCTGGGCCGGGCTCAGAAAATCTTTGAGGAGCTGAACGTGGAGCTACAGGATGAGCTCCCGTCTCTGTGGGACAGGTGTGACCCCTGAAAATCTACAAGTAAATCTGTGAATCTGCTGAGCCCTCAGGTCAAACTGTAAAAGTGTGTTTGTGTCGGTTTAGTCGTGTTGGCGTTTATGTTAGCACATTCCAGAGCCTGGCAGGTCATCAGGAGAAGTTCCACAGAGAAATGAGCAAAGTAAGCAATTATTAATCAATCTGACTGTAGTATCTGTGGATGTGTTGATAACATCTGCTCCTCCTCTGCAGCTCAGCCAAAACCTGAACGACATCATGACCAAAATGGAGGAGCAACGACAGCTGAAGTAAGTTCAGTTTGTTTTGTTTTGTCAATGTTTAAATGTGAAAAAGTGAGGAGAATAATTGACCCCGTGGCGCCCCTTGCTGCAGAAACGATGCTACTGCAGCGTCAAAGAAAGGAGATGGTGCAAAAAGGTAAAATATGCTGCATGGGATGGTTTGTGGACTTCATCTACTGAAGTTAGTTAGTTTGGTTGTATATGAACTCATTTCATGAGTTACAACTAATTGTCTGAACACAAATTTTAAATACCACGGTGATACAAACTAACACAACTATTAGAGTATATAATCTAACCTAACCTAACTTATATAT